TCCTCTGGCGCTCACAGTCGGCCAGTTCTTGCGCTGGGTCGGTCCACGGTACTGATGACGGCCGGTTCCTTTGCAGTACTCTCATGCACTCTCTGGGATCCCCAAGCCATGACCCTCACCCACTCGCATCTAACGCTCCCCGCAATTAAGGGTGCCTCCTTTTGGGGAGCGAGTGTGCATTCCAGTCCAGTTGCAGGGAAATTTCCATGTGTAGGCGACGTGCATATGTGGAACTTGGTCTGGTTAGGATACACTGAAACACGATGATGGGTTTAAGCGTGTGTGTCAAAGAACATCAGAAGAATTGAGAATTAATAAGAGTGGAGCCAAGGTCGCATGGTTACTTTTTAATGCAGCCACGTTTAAAATATTGCATTTGATGCACTGATTTCCAAGGTCTCCTTTCCTTTCCACATGCACAGCGGTGCAAGTTGACCAATGCTGAATTTAGATAGCAAGGCTATTTGATAACCGGTTCAAATCGATCCGAGTTTAGAAGCGGCTTGAGACTGCTAGTTCACTTTACAGTGTGGAAACCCAGCCAAACGTAAACTACTCAAATATGCACAAACCTGTCTGTACTGTGACACAGTTTCTGGGCAGAGAACTATCTTGATTGCTGGAGAACTGCTGCAATGCGATCTGATTGCTCATGCTGCATGCAACGCAGCGAGTTTGTAGACTACTACCGGTGTGGGGAATTCACCTTGTAGGAATTCCAGGCAGGGACGACAGAAGAAACAGTACCCAGGTTCTAAGTGGTGCCTTTTCTGACTTTGAACCTTCTCTATGCAGTGAAGGTACATAGAAACAGGAGGAGGTCATTCAGCCCCTCGAGCCGGTTCCGCCATTCTATAAAATCGTGGCTGAGCTGTACCTCAACTCCAATTACCCGCCTTTCCCCTTATCCCTTGATACCCGGACCTAGTTTCTAGGTCCGGGTATCTCTGGCTATCATATTGAATCCCTTTATTATTTTAAAAAGCTCAGTCAGATCACCCCTCAACCTTCTAAGCTCAAGGGAACAGAGACTGAGTTTATGGAACCTGTCCTCATAATTTAACCCTTTAGGCCCTGGTACCATTCTGGTGAGTCTCTATTTCCAATTTCTAAGCCACGTCGCATGGTTACCTCCAATTCCACGCGCTTTTATTTTTGCTGAATCTTGTGCGGAATCTTATCAAATGCCATCTGAGAGTCTACGTGGACAACATCCATAGAGACACTCTCTTATCCACCACCTTCGTGACCTCAAAAAATTCAATTGGATTTGTCAGATTGCCCATCTCTAGTTCCATTATTTTCTCCCATTGCCATTTTTTAAAAATTTGTATTAAATCCACTTAGCACTTCCCTTTGGCCTGTTTGTAGGTTCCCTTGTGCTGTTGGTATTTTGTCCTCTTCCTCTACTGTGAAATTGGAAGCAAAGTAATCATTCGACAAGCCTGCCATTTCCTTAGTGTACATTGTAGTCTCACCTACACCTGGCTTTAACTGGGCCCACATTTCCCTTTACCAGTCTCTTTCTCTTAATATATTTATATTAAAAAAAAAGTTTACTCTTGCCCTTGATATCAAATGCAAGTTTTATTTTCCCTCAACAACAAGAAGATTCCATTTATTGAGCGCCTTTCACGTCGGGAGGACGTCCCGAGGCGCTGTACAGTTGGGTCAGGACCCGAGCATTGGGGGGAAATGGTCAGGGTGAGGAGAGGGAAGGGAGGGAGCGAGGAGGGGGTAGAGAGTCGAGAGGCACAGTCAAATTCCCTTCCCTCATTACGCGCCTCGTATTACTTTCTTCGTAACCTCTTTGTTTGCTTCAGGCAATGCCCGAACTGCGTGACTCACCTGTTTGGGCAGGTTGACAGTTGGCAAATCACGTGGAGCGACACGCCCAGGGGGCAGCCATTGAGATAGATACCCGCCAGCGGTGGGAGGAACCGCTGATCCGCCACAACAGATCTGATCAGGATTGTTGTTGGAAGCATGTGCTAATCTCGTCGAGGTACTCGCTCACTCCTGACCAGGAGAGGACAGAGAATCGTGCCGCAGGGTGCGCTGCTTAACTTACCTAACTTGGGTCCAGTCCTTTCTGCGACTTCCTAACCCCCTGCCCCTCGAGAAGAGAAAAAAACAATAATAAATCTGTCATTTCAAATCCAGGACTGTCTGTGGGGACGCGGCTGCGCGCAGTTGACTCCCGTTTGTCGCCCGCAAATATGCAGTCAATTCGCTTTACAGTATATTGTGTGAAGCGCTTTGAGAGGGAGGGAGGGAGGGAGGGAGGGAATGTGGTGCCCATCACTGTCTGCCCTGTCACTCCTCGCCCTGAGGTGACTTCTCACCAGGGTTGGGGTTTGTTTGTTTTGCTGACGTCCCTCACCGTGACCAGGGTGTTGGAGTTGGCGGTGGGTGTTGAGAGAACCTCGGGGTGGACCCGGCGATGGACTTGGACCTCTGGAACGCCGTGGTGGCCGGCACGCCGGAACGCCAACAGAAGCTCCCAAATTTATCCAGAGAGGTAGCCGGCCACTCAGCGAGAGGTCTGGACTGCGGACAGGTGTCTTAGTCGTACAAATAGTGAACGTTAACGTAGGGATTCGCCGTTTGTTTCATGGCAAAGTGTTGGCATTCCAAAACCCGACAACCATTTGGGAATTGCCGGAATGCCCCAGGTCTGATTTTAACTTTCCTCAGTAATTGCCCGTTATCCACGATACTTAATCTCCGAGTTAGTTTGAAATGTGACAGGCGTGTGTGTACGTACGTGTGCGTGCGTGCGCGCGGCGCGCGTGTCCGTGTGCGTGTGCGGATGGATTCAGGCACTGACGTACATGTCAGTAACTAACCATCTAAAGGATTGACCTTCACCAAAGGTGGCGTTCACTGCCTGAAAAAGTACCCTGACACGTAAGGGAAAGAGGGAAAAGATGAAAGGTTAAACAAAATAACACAAGTTATTCATTCTCCGCATTTCGGGAAAGATATACAGTCGTTCCAACGTGAAATGTAATTTGCGTCTGCAGTATCGCACAATGCTCTCTGCAAAAAAGGCTGAAAGTCATTCACCTGAAGGTGCTGTTAGACTCACGTCGGTGCCTTTTGCGATGTGTGTTGTAATAATCCTTCCAAAAATAAAAAAACAATAATAAATTGGTGTGGGTCAATAAATGGGTCATTTTCAATCCACGGCGGCCTGTGGGACGCTGCTGTGCGCAGTTGGCTGCCCCGTTCTGCCCCCAAATATACGGTCAATTCACTTTACAGCATATTCTGTGAAGCGCTTTGAGACGTCGAGAAGACGTGAACAGCGCGATATCAAATGCAAGGATTATTATTATCTTGCAGCAGAGAAGCTGATGCTGAACAGCAGGACACATACTAACATAATTGTGATCTCTAGAGATAAGGTAAAGTCTCGATTTAAAATTCGTGAACAATATCAGTAATGTAAATCTACTCGCATTGCATACGAGAGGCTGTGGTCCTTCTACAAATACCTAAAATTAACTGGTTAAGCTGCAAAAACACATAATTCAAAACACTTGAGGTCTTGCAGCATTCCAGAAATAATTTAAATCCTGTAATTATGATATACCTTGCTATATGTTGAGGGTGGTGGCGGAGAGCTGGGATCGGGTATTGGGAATCAGCAGATGTATAGAAGCTAACTCAATGCTTGCAGATGATGTCGCCAAGGGACCAGCTCATTGATGAGGAATAGGAAAGAACCAAGGCTACTGCAGACGTGGTGCCAGACCACCCTGGTCTAGGCTGAAGCATGAGGAATGACCACTTAGGCAAGATACCAGAGAAGCAGCGTGTCTGTCTGCGTGTCCGCCAAGAACGCAGTGACCGATTGATGTAGAGACATGATTTATACATCATCGGAAAGGTCTTGCGTGGAGGAGTTTGATGGGCATGTTTTGGGGGGGGAGAATCTTGTATCGTTGATGAGCTGTATTAAAAGGGATAAAGATGCCTAAGAAGCGAAGATCAAGCCTTTCAAGGACAAATAAAAATGCCAGACGAAAGACAGAAGGCCAATTAAACGAAACTGGTTGCAAGCGTAGCTGCAGCGGGTACGGCCAGTCAAGTATAAAGCTGGAAACAGAATTTTTACATTGCACAAGATTCCTCTTCAACGTGGATGCGCAAATTGTAGTTTTCATGCTTCCGCCTCGCTCCCATCCCTCCAAAATAAATCTGCGGCAGAGCACACATTCCACTTGTGTAGATCAATGAAGAGCATTCTGCAACTTATCGGATGGGGCAAAGTTTGTTAGGAAATTCAATCTTTTTTTTTACATATGGAGATGAGGTCATCACAGGCTGCACCAAAAGAAAGAGTGGCTCAGTGGTTGTAATAAATGTATTTAGTATTGCAATCCATTGTTCAAGAAATTATAGACTTATACTGTATCTGGCAGAGTCATTTCCACGTGAACCAACTGTGGTCTTGAAGGATATCTTTAAAATGGTGAGAGCGGGTTTATGGCATTACCACAACAATAACAGCTTGCATTTATCTGGCGCCGTTCATTTGGGGTAGCATCTCAGAGAGCTTAACAACAGCAGAGCCTGACTCCGAGCCAGGGGGAGGGACGAGGTGACCGCGAGCACAGTCAAAGAGAAAGCAACCTCGTGTATTGCTGAGCTGTAGGTTTTTAATATTCTTCGTGATTTGAATTTGAAGATCTGAAGAGTCTAAAAGAGATTGTGATCTTTGCAAGCTGTTCAGCACCCTGCACGTTTAAGCAAATATTCTGCTGAAATGTGGTTTCGACAAGTTTGTCTATTAAATTAAGTTCTTCCTAAGCACAACCAGCAACAAATGTTAAAAAAAAACGAATTCAGATAACATGCCAAGACGTTTCACCACAAATCGGTGGCAAACATTTGCATTTCATTGCATCATTTTTTTGGATCAATCAGGTCAGGTCAGTCAATATTAATGGGTAACCATTGTCCAGCAAATAAACTCCAGGAAGGTCATGCAATTGACAGGGTATAAAATGGCTAATGCAAGACGAACGAGAGAGAGAGAGAGCTTCCAGTTCCACCAAAGCTGTAACAGGTGATAGATCTCCATTAATTAGAGTAAAGTTAACATAATATAGTCTATTTTCTGACTTTTGAATGCTCATTTTCATCATTGTATGCTATTGGTTCATTAATAACATTAACCAACTTCATGAAGTATGAAAATTCTGAATGAGGTGGTGAGTAATAGTGACATGGAATTTAATTGAGGGATTCAGATCTTCAGGAATAAATTGTACCTAGATGTGGATTTAAAGATGTAAATATATACAATGTAATTCACCACCGTGCATACTTGATCATTGTTTTTGTGTTCGCGATAAAAGAGAATAATGCAGATTTCACATGATGAAACCCGAGAAATTACTGTGGTGTAATTAGTACAGAAAAGTATTGCATGTTTCACATGAGGTTAATAAACTTGAGAAATGAGTCTACTGTTTGGATGATAGTAAAACAGAGCCTTATAATATTTTATAATATTTTTAGAATTGTATTCATGATAATTCAAGATGACACATGTGACTTGCTGTTAGCTGTATAGAGTAATTGCTAATTTATGTGCTTTTAGTGAATTGTGTTGTTATGTGAATCTGCATTTGGTAGATTAGTGTAATTAATTATATTATTATAAATATATAAATGAAATGTTGTACACTGTCCAGCGCCTTGGGACGTCCTCCTGACGTGAAAGGCGCTTTGCAAATGTAATCTTATTATTATGAGTGTAATCTGATCTCGTAGGCAAGCTTAATATGTATCTTATATCTACTATTCACATTATTTTACGTCATGTCTGAAGCTTACTATCTCTCACAAGCACATTGCAACCTATTAAAAAGTGCAATGTTTTTTTTATCTTTTTGATTCACATATTATTGCTCATCAATCTTAATAGAGTTGGGCTTCCTTAACAAACGTATTAAATTCCACGTACTAAAACAAAGTATTGGGAAAATTTGGCCACAGTTAGGAGGAAGCCCAGAGGCTGACACATTCTTGACTGGTTCTAGGAGAGCACTGTAAGGAGGCATATCAGGCACTTATGTCTTGGTTAGTTCCACACTTGGTGATCTTGCTGATGGGACACTGCACATTTTCACTGTAAAGTTACATTTTGGGCCAAGGCCAGAGGTTATGTACATTTACACAAACTTCACCATCTTATTCTTTAAACTGCACGACAATTACATAAAACGAATAGATTGGAATGATGCTTTGCTTACTTAGAGGGAGGCAATACCGTTTCACATCTATTCTGCTTTTCATTTGCAGGTTAGTTTGCACAATGGGCCCAATGATTGCGTATCTTGGTTTATCTGTTACGATGCTTTCACTGGCAGTTAATTGCCACTCGGATCGCTGTCTGGTAGGAAACAATCACAAGACGCTGCCCAGTCCCGAGCCAGGCATGCAAGCCTGTACAAAATATTCCCAATGTAAGTCAAAGCAATGAGGAGCAGAACAAGTGGAAAGTTTGGTGGTCAGCCATTTGCCTTGGGTGTGGGGGGGGGGGGGGCGGGGAGATCAAATTAGAGTGAAAATTGTCATGGATTGCTCTTGAGTTCTACATCGTAGTAAAATAGGATAGGGAAGGTCCCATAACTGACCTCTCAAATGGTGTTTGGGAGCTGGGGAAACCACTTGAGAGAGACAGAGAGAGAGGATAATGCCTTTGATCACCACATTCACACATTTAAAATGAGTTTTAGAAATTAGGGCCCCTATTAAAAATGCTCCATCCGGCCAATTCCCCCTGTTGCTATGAACAGCAGTCATTGTTTCATCAAAAACGAGATGCGTTTCTATTCAATAGAGAGGAAGAAAAAATTAAATGATGGCAAAGTTAAAATCGAGTTCCTTACAACAAGATTCCATTTTTTTTTTGTTCATTGCTTCCAGGGCGCGGCCCGTTCTTCTCTTGAAGCACTGTTGGAAACGACACAAAGGCAGTTAGTGACAGCCCTCCAGTATTAGAGTGGGTATTAAATCTTCAGTTCATTCCTCTACTTTGCAATGAATTGGAATTTTATCCATTCGTGACATTCCTATTTGATAGACAGATTACAATTGGGGTTTCCCTTACAGACTGTGTAAACCTCCCACCAATGTTTGAATGATTGTTGAACCTCTGACATTTTAGAGAAGGCGCACTTCCAGCCTTCTTTGCCCAGATTCTTTAACTTTCTTTTCTTTTAACAGCTTCATGCTGCTATGCTAACTATACACAACAACTGAATGTGTCTCCGTTGATCAAGGTGAATAACATGTACTGGAACACATGCGGCCAACTCAGCCCACAGTAAGGATACATACATCTCGTTATTTACAGAAAGCTGAATATCATTCCTAATGTACCCTTTTTAAGTTGCTTCAGTTCTGTCCTTTGGGTAGAACTGGTCACTCAAAGGGGCAGTGCTTTTGTCCTTTGAGAGAAACAATAGTACAATCATACGATTCAATTATACACACGTAGCAACACAGTGGCGTATTTTGATGTTTTTGTAATGTTGCGTTGCATTTGTATTCAAACAGCTGTTGTTTAAATCTCAATAAGCAAAGCGCAGTCAAAAATTACTAATTGATTACTTGATGTAATTTGTTTTTGATCATCTAAAATGTGCCATTACAGATGTGAGCAGTACTTAAAAAATGTGGATTGCTTCTATCACTGTTCACCCCACGCCTTCCATTGGGTCAATCCCAATAATTCTTATTCAATTATTGCTGTCCCGATTTGTCGAAGCTACTGTGATGACTGGTAAGTTTTTTTGTAAACTTCTTTTAGTTACGGACAATTTCAGCTCGAAGTTATTCTATATCTCCCATATTTTCCGAGGAGTTTTATCTTTTTTATTGTATGAAATTGGTTTGTCCTAAGAGAATAATGTAAAAACATGTCAACTTGTCAAAAATTCAGAACAGTGGGATCGAGGTCCTTCAGTACAGTAGACCTTATAGTGATGTGGTTTGAAGATATGCAAGGGAAGGGTGTTTAAAAATAATGCAACTTTTTACAACTTTATTTTCTGGTATACTTTGCACTCACCACAATGAAGGTACCACCAAGCTGGTGAATAGAACACTTCAGGATCAACTTTTTCCTCCTAATTGAACTTAATAAATTAAGAAATCGATCAATAAAATGCAATAGTTACAATTGTTATCGTTCAAACATTGTGGCATATGAATGCATACTTGTTTTCAACAGGTTTACAGCTTGTAAGAATGACCGAACCTGTGCGAGAAACTGGATTACTGATTGGGAATGGAATGAGCAGGGCAACAGATGCAAAAATGAATGTATTCCATTCCATCAGGTGAGGGCTGATGTTTCTACTGTACAGCTGATAACATCAGCTGGGTAGATATTTTAGCAGATAACCAGCCTTATTGAAAGGAAAGGGCTTGACACAATTAAACGTCTTGCATAATCATGGTTTACTGTAATAATAATAATCCTTAATAATCCTTGCATTTGATATAGCGCTTTTCACGTCGGGAGGACGTCCCAAAGCGCTTCACAGAACACACTGTAAAGTGAATTGACTGTATATTTGTGGGCGAACGCGGCAGCCAATTGCGCACAGCAATGTCCCACAAACAGTCGTAGATTGAAAATGACCAATTTAATTATTGTTTTTTTTGGTTTTTTGGAGGGATTATTATACTGTATCCTTTTTGCTGAGAAATGTACAACAGTTGTACTGCTGATATGATGCTAAGGGTGAACAGCTGATGACAGCCCAGCCCAGTAATCGGCAGGCTGAGGTATGGAGTGTTACTAGGGAGGAAGGGTGGAGGCTCATGCGAAGTATAAAACATGGACTAGTTGGACCAAATGGCCTGCTTTGGTGCTGCAGATTCTATATATGTAATTCTATGTGCGTAGGAGGGTCTGTTCCAATTTTCTCAGGTCAAATTCATTAAACGTATCTATTAATATATTTTTTGGCTCCCCTGATGAGTTTATTGAGTGAGTAGCAGAGACATACAGACTCCATCGGACTCCACTGTGCAGTTAGTTGATCTCAGCTGGGGTAGCAGAAGAGAAGGGAAGGTTATTTGCATTTCCCCAAGAGCCTCTGTTAATCATTAGTCGGATCCCTTACTGTAGGTGTTTTTTGTGGATGTCTGCTGAAGAGAGGTTCAGACTCAGCTAAGCCTGAATAACCTGCCTACACTGTCAATGGTCACACAGAAATATTAATATAATTTTCCTGCTGCTTTTCCCAACAATCTGAATAAATAGCAAATCTTACTTGTGAATCTTACCTCAAATTCAGTAGTAACAAATGAATTGCAGCAGTGGGAACCACAACAAATAGTTAGACAAACTTATCTCATGATACTGTTGTTTGTCTGAACAAAGTACTGTTTATATCTGCACCTTTGTCCTTCATTGGGTTCATATTAACTTTCAAAGGGTGACATCATTTGAACTGCTTGGTCCGTCATTCAATGCATTGTGCCATCTCTTGGATTCTTGACTCACGGCACGATGACCTGACTGGCAATGGAATGTCAGAATCACGCCGGCCCTCTGTGGCGGTCTCGGTAGTCCGGTTCCTGAGCCAGGCAGGTCTGCAGTATTCCAGGACACTGCTGATGACCGCACAGCCAGGGAGAGGGTGTGCATTTCATTCCAACAATCTATCTCTGAGATCTCCACGTGTGGGTGGGATGCACGGGAATCTCAGCCTGGACTCTTAAGCGTGCATGGTGATGGGTTTCCGCATTTGTGTCAAGACACCCGCCCGGCGAGCCCAAAAAAACTGCATGAAATCAAGGGATTGGTTTCAGTGAGCTCTTTGGCCCATTTAATAACAATAATAATAATCCTTGCGTTTGATATAGCGCTTTTCACATCTTCTAGATGTCTCAAAGCGCTTCACAGAATATACTGTACAGTGAATTGACGGTATATTTGTGGGTGAAACCAGCAGCCAGTTGCCCACAGCAGTGTCCCATAAACAGTCGTGGATTGAAATTACCAATTTATAATTGTTTTTTTCTTGAGGGATTATTATCAAGCGAGAGACCTGAGTTCAATTCCAGGCAGAGGGCGAAACCTTGGGCAAGTTTCCTTACTCCACACAGAGCCTAATAATAATCCCTCCAAAACTAAAAACAATAATAAATTGGTCATTTTCAATCTACGACTGTTTGTGGGACATTGCTGTGCGCAATTGGCTGCCGCGTTCGCCCACAAATATACAGTCAATTCACTTTACAGTGTGTTCTGTGAAGCGCTTTGGGACGTCCTCCCGACGTGAAAAGCGCTATATCAAATGCAAGGATTATTATTATTATTATTTTATCAGGTGTGTGGAGTAAGGAAACTTTCCCAAGGTTTCGCCCTGTCCGGAATTGAACCTAGGTCTCTCGCGTGCGAGGCAAGTGCTCTAACCACTGAGCTACAGGACTCCACATCCATTCAGAATATCTACCCTACTAACTTCCCATCACAGCATCAAGATGTTTTTTAAGAGACTCCAGTGTCCTAGGCTCAAGCATCCTTCCTAATATCTCACTTGATTTTTTTTGTGATCCAAGAACTTTCCTCAGAATCAAATATAGGTAGAAGATCACTACCGACTTTTGGGATAAGATAAAGTACCTTTTCTTAGTTCATGTTTTTTNAGTGAATTCCTATGGGCCTATACCTTACCAAGTTTATTATGACAATGGAAAATGCCAGTAGAAAAATTAAACGAGCAAAAAAGGGAAAATAGGCATCTAAACTCTAATAGAACTTGTCTCCTCGTGAATCTTACTGCAAATTCAGTGTTAACGAATAAATCTTTCAGGCGCCCACAGACATACTTTATAAAAGACCACATGCAAACTGCCCATTAACATGCACGTTGATTGTCTTTTGTGCAGATGTTTAAGGATGGAAAGGATCTCTGTGAAAGCATGTGGAGCCCATCATTCAACGTGAGCTCATCAAACTGTCATTGCCTGATGTTGGATGACAACAACGATGACATAATTGAACACCTGTTGACCCACGAAAGAGGAACAGCGACTCCGGCACAAGATGTGCACCAAGATGTCGACCGCAGCCCTTTCTGTCAGCAGAGATACAAAAAAATGCAGAAAAAGAAGATTAAGGCAATGAAGCAATGTAAGTGCTTAACTTATTTAATAAGTGTTATCAATGAAATACTGTATATTGCGGAGCCTATCTAGAAGACAGGTGGTGATCCTAGAGTGTGCTGGAGTTTAACCAACTAAAATGCAGAGCTTTCCATTTAGAGCATTCGCTACCCATTAGGGTTTTGTCTTGAAGGGATAACAGGGGTTTAGTGGGAAAGGTCCCGACTCCCGGTGATTGGCCTGCTCTTCCAAGTCCTGCCAATATGCCAAGCTGACTGGATTATCATCAGCAGTGACTTGGGAGTGCGGAGGAATATCCTGGCTCAGCTATTGAGACCAGAGCAGAGGATTGACTCAATTCCAACGTCCTGTTGGTGAGCACTTCTCCTTGCAGCCAACTCGGGTCCAAGGAGACCCTGTTTGCCTTCTCTTTTTTTCCTGGATTTTCCGGATTTCTTTTCTTTGTGTATCTTACCTGCTTGTAAGTTTCAGATGAGCGTTAACCATCTTTTTTTTTTTTTTTCATTCGCAGCTTCGTAACGCGTTCCAAGCAGCTTGCCAGAAGCGAGCGAGTTACTTCAAAACAAGTTAACGTCGCAATAAGGCGTGTTAAGGTCTAGAGAATTAATTTGCAACGCTGATGTACTTAATTTGACGCACATCTGGGTTGAGATACCACCTATTATTTCAAAGACCAATCCGTACACAACTTTGTACCGTCAATAATTTTCGGTGTATCTGAATTAAGCCGTGCGACTCCGCTCACGTGAAAGGTGCTATACAAATGCAAGTTGCTGCCGTAATTAAAATTGAAGACAAGAAGCCTTTTCTTCTCAATGAAATGGGGTTGTTGGCACGTTAACGTTCCAGTGGCCAGTCTGGCTCGCTCGGTAGCTCTCTCTCGCCTCTAACTCAGAGCGTTGCGAGTTCAAACCCCCACCTTACGACTTTTAAGACCTAATGCTGTGTGTCCTTCAACTGAGATGACTCCGGACTTAACATCTGTCGGTTCAAACGGATGTGAGCGATCCCTTGACCACTTGAAAAGAAAAAAGGGATTTTTTTTCTCCCCCCCAATGCCTTGGCAACGATCCACAGCTTATCCACAGTAAGCGGTTGTTAGTTGACGGGCGGATCCCTGTTTTTTTCGGGGGTGGGGAGTGGCGGGGTAATAGCCCCTTAGAAAATAATGATAGTTCGGTCCCTCAATCCACAGCCGTTTGTGCGGACACCGCCGTTCGCAATTGGCCGCCGCGTTGCGCCCACAGAAACAGGCGGTCACTACACTTTACGGTATATCCCGCGAAGCGCTTTGAGGCGCCTCGGGAGACCTGACGAGGAGCGGTGTCAAATGCCAGGGTTGCTGCTGTTGTTATTATTATTATTATTATTATTATTATTATTATAAAGCCAACAAAACACACGCCTGGATAGATTTTTTTTAAAAAAAGCAGCCCAATCGGGCGTGAAACCCGCCCGATTTGGGCGTGAAACCCGCCCAATCACCCGTTCCCCGCGGTGTTGCGGGTGGGGGGGGTTGGGTTCAAGTGGGCAAACAGCGCCACCCGCCGGGCGGTCGCGGGAGGACAAGCGGCGACGGCGACCTCTCACCCCGCGGCGGCCATTGCTCTGCCGGGGGGGGGGGGGGGCGGAGCGCCGAGTGTCGAGAGAGGGACGGACGATGAGCGCCATCGGCATCGGTCGAGGGAAGCGGCGGCGGTAGTGGACGGGCGGCGCTGCCGGTGACCGGAGAGTCGGGCGGGAGAGCGGGAGAGGAAGGCTCGAGGTGGTGGGAGGAGGAGTTGCGCGGCGGGCGGGATGGGCCTACGTTGCTAAGCAACCAGACCCTCCCCCTCCCTCCCCCGCTCCCTCTCTCTCACCCCGGCAATGGCCTCCCGTGTGTGCCCGGAGCCCGGGGCCCCGAGCCCGAGCCCGGCCCGGGGCGGGGAGCAGCCGGACCCGGGCCCGGGCCGCTGCTCGGACCGCCACGCTCGGGCCCTGTTGGCTCAGATCAACAGGATGCGGGGCCGCCGGGACCTGTGCGACGTGCGGCTGCGGGTCGGGCACGAGGTGTTCGAGGTGCACCGGCTGGTGCTGGCCGCCAGCAGCCCCTACTTCACCGTCCTGTTCGCCGGCGGCATGAGGGAGGCGGGCAGGGAGGCCGTGCACATCCACGGCGTGGGCCCCGCCATCTTCCAGCTGCTGCTGGAGTTCATCTACACAGGTGATGTGGAAAATAAACCCCCTCCTTCCCTCCTCCCTCCCCCCACCTTCCCACTCCTCCTTCCCTCTCCTTCCTCCCTCCACCTCCTCCATCCTCCCTCCCCCCACCTTCCCACTCCTCCTTCCCCTTCCCTCCTCCTCCCACCTTCCCCTCCTCCTCCCTCCCCCCACCTTCCCACTCCTCCTTCCCTCCCTCCACCCCCTTCCCTCCTCCTCCATCCTCCCCCACCTTCCCCCTCCCCCTTCCTCCCTCCACCTTCCCCCCCCACTCCTGCCTCCCCCTCCTCCCTCCACCCCCCTTCCCCCCTCCCTCCCCCTCCTCCATCTTCCTCCCTCCCCCCACCTTCCCCTACCCCTCCTCCTTCCTCCCTCCCTCCCCCCACCTTCCCCCTCCCCCCCCCCTTCCCCCCTCCCTCTTCCCAACTTATCATCATAAAATTATAATAATTTATAATACAGGACATACCGTAAAGTGGATGGACTGTGCCGTGCGTGGGCGAAACACGGCAGCGAATTGCGCTCAGCGGCGTCCCACAAACGGGGTCCTGTAGCTCAGTGGTTAGAGCACTCGCTTTGCAAGCGAGAGACCCGGGTTTGATTCCAGACAGGTCAGAGCGAAACCTTGGGCAAGTTTCCTTACTCCACACAGAGCCTAATAATAATCCCTCCAAAACAATGATAAATTGGTCATTTTCAATCTACGACTGTTTGTGGGACATTGCTGTGCGCAATTGGCTGCCGCGTTCGCCCACAAATATGCAGTCAATTCACTTTACAGTATATTCTGTGAAGCGCTTTGGGATGTCCTCCCGACGTGAAAAGCGCTATATCAAATGCGAGGATTATTATTATTATAAACGGTCGTTTTTGCGGTACACGGAAAACCGATTGATGTTTTCAGGCTTGCAAGCAAGTAATTAATCCTGCTGCGTACTCTTTTAAATGTACTTCCTTTTTCTTCACTCCGTGTCTAACAGGTGTAGTCAATGTGAACATAAACAATGTCCAGGAGTTGATACTGGCAGCTGACATGCTGCAGCTGACAGAGATTGTGAGCATATGCAGTGACTTTCTGAAAGGGCAGATTGACCCCTCAAACTGTATCGGAATCTATCAGTTCGCTGAACAAATCGCGTGCCACGAATTGATTGATTTCAGTGAAAACTACATTCAAGTCCACTTCCTGGAGGTCTGTAAAGCTGAGGAGTTTATGGGATTGGCCAAAGACCAGCTGGTTAAGGTCTTAAAAAGCGAAGAGCTTCAAATTGAGGATGAATACCAGGTTTTCATAGCAGCAATGGAATGGATTCATAAGGATATTGGTAAAAGGAAAAAGTATGTAGTTGAAGTGCTGGATCCTGTTCGATTTCCTCTACTATCTTCGCGGAGACTCTTCAAGTATATTGAAGGTACAGTACATCAATGACATCAGTGTCTAGCCAATCAGACGTCCTTTTGACGTGAAGGCCACTATATAAAATGTAAATTACATTGTAATCTTTTTTTAAAAAATTAATAATGTTCAATTGCCAAATCAATATATTTTATAACACAAAACCCTCGGGGTATGAGAAAACTCCAGTGCGTTTACAAGTAGCAGCTAGCCTGTGTTGATTCTGTAACTTTTCCTGTTCTGTTTGGTAATTTACAGCAAAATGTGATTTCTCCCTCCAGGTATCGCTGACTTTAGTCTGCGGGTTGCACTGCAGAAGTTGCTGGAGGAGTACAGGGAGGTCAGTAAACCTCAGAAAGAGACAAAGTTTTGTAAACTGCAGCCGGCATCCAAGATTCGACCTCGAAGGAAGGCCAGGAAGTACCTCTACGCTATAGGTTACTTTCACTGCAAATTTGACATACAAGTAAATGCAGTCGGGCAGCCCACCAAAACTGTCCCCAATAAACCACTGAGCGCTACCTCAGACTGATCAAATGCACGCGTCTTGTGACTCGGTCAGGACGACTTGTTGATGGTCTGAGACCAGAATGTCGGGTTCACTTAGGTTCTGTTAAGAATTGAGCACAGCACTAGGGAGTTAAAGACAACAATAGCACATTGCATTTATATTATACCTTTCACGTCAGAAGGCGCTGGACAATCAAGGGTTTACATCCAATCTGGGGGTTGCATGCAAGATATATATATTTTTTAAATTTATTTTTATGTATTTTTTAAGAAGCTCTTAAAATGAAGGAATCAAGGTCAGTTATTTGAAATGATAATAACCATCTTCCTCCTTCCATAACATTATCCTGAATAGCACAAACAACCTCTGCTATATCGCGTTACTCGTTGCTTCCAAGTTATGAGTTACACCATGTTAAATTAGACAGATTGAAAAGGAGGCTTAAAATATTCAGTTAATATGCTATTTAATTGCCTTTGTTCTCCTCTCCCGATGGTACAGACACAATCAGTGTATCTGCACCTCGTCAAAATAGCCAGTCTTGATGCATTAACCTAGCTATTGAATCTTGCAGCCTATTTGATTGCAAGGAGCTTCACAGTTAATTCAATCTTGTACTCATCCAATAGCTGAACACACACTTTCCAGGAGGTGTCATATGATAACAATGAGAAAAGAGAATTGTGGCAATTCCTTCCTTCCTCTTCTCTCCTCTTCCTGGGGCACTGAGGCCAATTGTAACTCTACTTCCATACAACTGAAATTGGCTAACTGCGCTGAGATTGAAGCTTGATTTTGAAGCTTCACATTGGGGGATAGTTTTATCAACTGAGCATTAAAGGCATTGTGTTCTCATTTTATGACCAGGTGGGTACACTCGGCTTCAGGGTGGTCGTTGGAGTGATAGCAGAACTCTCAGCTGCGTAGAACGCTTTGACTCATTCAGTCAGTACTGGACCACAGTGTCATCCATCCACCAGGCTCGAAGTGGAATGGGTGTTGCTGTCCTCGAGGGGATGATCTACGTGATAGGTGGTGCGTATGTGGTTCCTTGGTCCCTATTGTACCAACATTATCTCCTGTAAAAACTGATTCCATCCCCATTGTTAAATTTTTTATAATAATCCTTGCATTTGACATCTTTGAGACGTTTCAAAGCGCAACACAGAATATACTGTAAAATGAATTAACTATATATTGTGTGGGTGAAATACGTTAAATTAATTTTTCAACATCTTATAGTATAATATAGATCAGTTCTTTTTTTCCCCATTCTCATAATTTTTCAAATGATTTATGAAATTCTCCACTCAGACAATGAACACAAAAAGCACTTCCGTTAAAGAGTGTGTAATAATTTGTACAACAGCTTGCATTTATTAGTGCCCTCCCGCAGAATAGAATCTTGAGGCACTGAACAGTTTGTGTTTATTTCTGTACTTTAGTTTTCTGGGCAAACTTTGATTGCTTCACAGGAAGCAATTATGTCAAAATTATTTTGTGAAGAGTTCACAAATTAAATGTATAAATCAAATAGTTATTGGAGTGTAATCATTATTATATATTATATTTTTGCTGATCATATGTTACTCATAAAAAGTTATCCAATATTTATCCAATATGCAGAAAATGCAGGCTGATTTAGGCCTTCTGCTTAAGCTGGAGAAGAAATATGAAGTACAGATTTAAGTATTTCTAACCATTGACTTTGAATTTGTTGCTCAGAACCATGATTCTAGTTTTAGGGAGAAAAATCTCTTTGGATTTTAGAAAAAATTTCCTGTGGGTTGGATTTATCTTGTTCAGGCAATGAGCTGGATTGGAGATGAGAAAGATGGGAGAATATGGCTAATTAGCTAACAAATCAAATTACAGTTCATGCATTATTTCAGCAATACCTCCGTCACGTATTGAAATTTAAGAAACAACAGGTTTGTGTATGAATTATTCACAGAGACTTGTACTGGCTTGCTTTTAATTCTAGACTCAGGTTGCCAGATTAATTTTACATAAAAAGAATATACCCAACAAAACAGGAAAATTATTTATTAAATCTGACTAATCAAAATTGTTCAAAGCTGACAACAAATACCCATTGAGCATTGTCTGCTTTACAGTTAATTTATTTTGAGATGTACTTTGATAAGCTTAAGGATAAATGTTTCTGTATGGAAGCACACAAAAATGACAGTTTATTTCAACGATCTTTTTTTAAGGGGAAAGCGATTCCATGATCTTTGACTGTGCGGAGCGCTATGATCCAGTTATTAAACAATGGGCAGCTGTGGCATCCATGAATTCGCCACGATGTGGACTGGGTGTGTGTGCTTGTCATGGTGCTATTTATGCTCTGGGTAGGTGTCGCAATCACATGCCTTTTCATATTCTACGATTCTGTATTAGACGCTTGAAGGTAAAGACTATTGAAAGGATATGGGAAGCGAGCAAGTGAGTGAGATTAGACTGGCTAATGTGGAGAGAAACACCAGTGGGCTGAAATTCTGGTCAATGTTACATGTATCACCTTTGACCATGTATGATTATGATAGGGAAAATCCCTCTATCGCCTGACCACGCCACAGCACTCTGTGTATCGCTTACCGAAATTTCTGTCCATTTCTGTGCTTTACCAGAAGCAGTGGTTAATCTATTGAGTCTCTGGGGAAAGTAATGATCTTACTGATTTAGTGTTTGATGGTTATTTGAGTAGCACAGCAGGGTTGGATTCACATTGTTTTAGCATCACCTACGTGTGTACTAACATTTTATTAGGTTGGAGCTGTGTGAATAAGGCTTTGAGAAAACTGCTCTGAATCCCCAAGTTTGTTGTGTCTGTTTACCGTTTACAGGGGGTTGGATTGGGGCAGACATCGGGAAGACAATGGAAAGGTTTGACCCGTCTGATAATAAGTGGGAAGTTGTTGGAAACATGGTCGTTCCTCGGTACTTCTTTGGCTGTTGTGAAATGCAAGGTATGCAGCTGATACCACTTTGTGGCTTAGCAATTTTTATCTCGTCACCAACACTATCGGTCACCTTGATTCGTCACACTCTGGGGCTATTCAGATTGCTACCAGCAGATGTCATTGTGATAGCCGTGCTGATAGGGCAAACCCGACATCGAATATATACTATACTTTAATTCATTTGGATTGATGATTTATACAAAAAGAACAGATGTTGACTTAATTACTGTTAAACGTTACTAAATCAGGAACGAATTGTCACTGGGCAACACAGTTTTACAAGCAATATCAAGTTGTTAAACAATTTTTTCTCTTGAGGTTTGCTCTCTTTGAACTTTCAGCCCAGAACCTAAATGTAGAGTGTTTATTTTGGTTGTACTCCGCACTGGAATATCTGTTGCTGACACTCAGTAAGGGTTCCTTTAGTCAGCTTGGTCACTTTCCCTCCTGCCTTGTTTATTCTCAAATGAGCATGAAGGCAAACTTAACAAACCAGCATCTTCCAAATTATTAAAGCAGTCTGCGTTGGTACTTTATGTAATATTCTGCTCCATCTGTTGTCACTTTTAAATATAAAGCTGCTGATTGTTGCAAGATGGCTTTAAAGCTGTAATTATGCTGAAATAGTACACTTTAAATGAAACTGCTCCTGTCACTCTGACTACTGGACTCTTCATTTAGAAAGAGTCGTACCAAAAGTCAGAATTCTTCTGGCAATGTTATGTTCCATAACATTTTTCAGGACAAGATTCAGCATGTGATGCTACGTCATCTCTCTGTGTCTTCTCATAAAATGAGAAACGTTTTCGGCAATTCAGAAATCATAGCAAACTGCAGTGTTTTGAAATCTCATAATTCTTCTGCCACTGAGATTTGAAAGCCTAAGTAGCTTTACGGAGACTGTTTGTTTTCATATCCATGTAAGTCAGAAATTGCCATTTTGTTACAGGTCTAATTTATGTTGTTGGAGGATTGAGTGACACAGGGTCAGAACTCCATTCAGCAGAAATGTTTGATCCCATCACAAAGCGCTGGATGGCACTGGATGATATGAAAACAAAAAGAGCTTATGTTGGAGTAGCTACCCTCAATGATTGTATTTATGCTGTTGGCGGTTGGAATGAGACACAGAATGCTCTACGAACAGCAGAGAAGTATTCGCTGCAAGAGGTGGGTGCAACTTTGGGCAACCTCTGACTTGCTGTCCATTTCCTTGAATCAAATTGAAGGGAGATGTCACTGAGGAGTAAGATCTACACCTCCGAGGTGACGTAAGGTGTGAGATATTGTTGGGTGTACCTGCGTGGTTTGTAATCTCTGATTACTCTTTTTGTCAATTTCTTTTCTGTCTTTTCTTTCCTCTCCCATCTTTCCAGGAGAAGTGGTTTGAAGTTTCACCAATGAAGATGGCAAGAGCAGGGGTTTCTGTCATAGCTGTTAATGGCCTCCTATATGCAGTGGGTGGTCGAACGTCAGGCAGGGATTCATCTGCTCCTGTGACACTGGACTCCGTTGAAGTGTACGATCCTCATACCGACACATGGATGGAGATTGGAAATATGATAACTAGCCGCTGTGATGGTGGAGTAGCAGTGCTTTAGCCCCTTCAAGACGACCCATCTCGGTTTTATCAATAAGGCCCCTGCATGGAGGAAATCTCTGTGTCATTTTGCACTTTTGGGACCTCTTTTCAATGTGATAAAGGACATTTTCATGAGTTGAGACAGTTGGGCTCGAGGTAAGTTTTAGTAACCATGGATTAAAGTGGCCTGACCATTGACTGATTTTGCAAAGACACACACACATCACACACACACACACAAACCATTGTGTACAATTGTGTATCATTCTGCAAAATGGAGAGATGTAATACTTAAAACAAATGTTTTGAAAATTTCAAAAGCTGATTCCAAACCAGTAAGTTCTCAAGTTGACCCAATGGATTGTTATCTGTGTTAATAACAAAGATTTTAAAACCTTGCGGGAAAATCTGAATATCAAATAATTGATTCTTGAACTTTTGCTTCATCAAAGTGCAATTGGAAAGAGAAGACTGGAGTCATGCAGTATTTGTACAAGAGCTCAATTTATAAAGTCAGCCTTCTGATATGTTTTGGTTAAGTCTTTATTGAATACTAGGTGTGAATGTTTTTAATCCAAGTATGCATAGAGACCGAGCTGAACAAATGCCTTTTTCTAAGTGCTCTCCAGACTCTCACTATTTGTAGAGGTGTTTTGGGTGTTAATTTATCATTTTAGCATTAAGCACATACAATTATGTCAGCAATATGAACTTATTGAACAGCATTTTATTTACATTCTGAAGTGGGTTATGTATTCATAGTTTAGTGGTTAGAGCGCTCGCCTCGCAAGCGAGAGGGCCTGGGGTCAATTTCTGGCAGAGCAAAACGTTCCTTATTCCTCCATGCGCCTCTTGTTTACCTAGCAGTAAGTAGGAACCCGGTTGTTAGTCAATTGCTAGATTGCTGTTCTGGGGTAATAATCCCTTCAAAAACAAATAATAATTTGGCCACTCAATCCACGACTGTTTGTGGGATACCGCTGTGCGCAATCGGCTGCAAGTTTCACCCACAAAGTATAGTCAATTAATTTTACAGTATATTTTGTGATGTGCTGTGAGAAGAAGATGTAATAAAGCGCTATATCAAATGCAAGGATTATTATTATATCTATTGGTGGGTTGTTTTGTAAAATGTTTTGCTTTATGTATATACAACATAAGGTGAGGCTGCTTTTTTTTATTTGAGGTGTAAGATGTATATGTTGTCACATAATCTGGGAGCCTTTACATTTTCTAATTTATGAGACTATGGTTTCTAACTAATAATTACTTGAATGTTTCTTGCTGTGTATTGACAAACTTGAAGTGAAAGTTTCTGGCATTTAGCTTAGTGACTTTTTCTATTAGATTTGTGACAATTTTTAATTGCTACTTTCAGGGAAGATAATTCTGCCTTTTCAGCTGTTGTGTTGTGTTAATTGTGTACGATTGCATACCCAATGGATGTACTTCAATCTTTCTCAAAGGATAAACATGGCAACAGTTTACTATCTATATGAATGTGGCATTTATTGACTGACATTTCAATGAGACCAGTGTAATTCCTCCTATTTCCTATTGCAATGCTTCATTTGAACAGACTAGAATCTAAATTCACATCAGGTAAATAGAATTATCCTGTCACTGACACTTTTTAGATTGCGAGAATAGACATTTCTAACAGCTGAACACCTAAAACATTTGAATCCACAATACACAACTTCCTTCTCTTCCTGGGTACGGTTCAACAGCTGTAGAGACCATCACAGCAAGGGTCCATCGTTCGTGTAAACCCAGATGGTGAATGTCAGCAGGTGCATTACTGCCAAGGTCAGTCCCAGCCTTATTGAATGTCCATTTATGCATAGTTTCCAGCAGGAGTAATGTGAGAGTGTGAATTCTCGGTGAGGACTCAGCCTTGGTGTGCTCTTGTTTGGCAACATCTGAAGTCTGCTTCAGGATAATAATAATAATAATACTTGCATTTGATATGACCTCAATTACCAAATCAACAATTAAAATGATTTATAAGAACGCTATTAAATCCTTTAATGGACGATGGGAAGACTTTGCCTGGGTTCCCATTTCTTGCTAAACTTGGTCATTTTTNCTTATTAAGTTCCTCGAAAGGGTCTGGAGGAGTCGGCCTAGTACAGTATAGCTGGACCCTCATAAAATTGCACTGCAAAAACCACACGTCTGAGGATTAAATGTCTCCCTTATGTCCTTGCTGCAGGATTAGGAGGGGCAAGGCAGCAGCATGTGTAAAGTATGAAATCCTTATGGAAATACACCTCTGGAGGGGAAAGGTAATCAATAGATAATCAATATCTTTGATTTAATTACAGCCCTCGTATTATTCTACACACATTTACAATTGTTTCCCCAATCCTTTTACCAAGATTTTTGTTCCTATTGAGTGGGGAAAATTCATTAGTCAAGTGTTGTTCTTAGGTCAGCAAATCCATCGCATCTTGGATTGGTCTTTTAAGATGCTGATGAGGATGTAACATTACAGAAAGTGATAGAAACTGAAATAATCCAATTATCACTTTTATTTCCCCCTTTGCCTCACCCTCAAAACTTTTGTATATAAAATAAAGCTAAAGTTTGACAAGACATTTCAAAGGTTTAGACCTCAACATTTGCTTTTACTTTTCATGTTACAAAGAGTGAATTTGTTGATCACGAATTCAATATTTGAGTCCTCTATTTCACTGATTAAAGACTTTTTTCACTTTACTATCTCCAAATCCTGAATAAACATTAAGTGTGCAAGACCCTCTTAATTTTATTTTTCGTTTGAAATAATTAAGTTTTAAAAAAAAACCTCTGTTGTACCTAGTTTGAATCATAATTAGAAATTTTGATTTCCTTTGTCATTTGACTTTAGTCTTTTCTCGGGATACGCACTTTTGATCATCATTGTGGCAACCAAGGAGAATGTTGCCACCACAGTCAGTATTGTTCTCAAAGCTTTGAACCAAGAGGGATAACTTGGGAGTAAGGACAAATCGTAGTGCAGTGCTACTCCCAGACCCATGATCACCATAACAGCGGATTCAGTGAGGTTATTAAAGACTAGAGCTATCCAGGCGAGGAGGGGGAGAATCACACTATTCCCCAAATTCAACCAGTCGGGTTTTGCGGGGCTGTTTTCTGGAACTGCAAATCCCCATCGAATTCCTCCAAGGAAAGAAAGTATGGATGCTCCGTATGTTATTTGGGCAAAAGCTACTTCGGGGAAGTACGTCTCGGTTACGGCCATTATCAGAGGAGCTGCTATAAAAGGAATTAATCCAGCACAGCCCAGATAGATGGCGGGTTTTGGTGTGCTCTTTATCTCTTTAAAATCGTATCTCATTAAGTCTAATTCTCGATTCTCTGGTTCTTCTTTAGTTTTCCTTTTCTGAAAGGACTCGTGAAAAAGCTGAGTTTGGTTCCAACATACTGTGGATCTTTGCTTGTGAATTTGGAAATACTTGCTCGTTGTCAGTGAGACGATTTTCTTTGATGAAAAAGAATGGTAAATACCGATGGTGTTTGAATTGCCTTGCAACTGTAATAATTTCTGAACCTAGAGTTTTAAAAAAAAGAAATGGATGAAAGTATGGTCCCATATATGGTACATTACACAACCAGATCACAACCACGTGCGCACAACCAGATCTGTTTCCTAGTACTGTAGCATAAAGGCACATGTTTAAACATTCAAACCCGTCTTCAACAACCACTCAGAGGACTGGGCCAAAGTGGCCTTCATAAAAGGGTGGTCTCTGAATAAAGGTTTGTTGGTGTGTGAACCATGCTGTTCCAGGATGATTGTGAGAACAGGTTTGACTACACTTATACTGTGGAAAAAGAGTCCTATAGAGAACGTGCTATAATAATAATAATCCTTGCATTTGATATAGCGCTTTTCATGTCGGGAGGACATCCAAAAGCGCTTCACAGAACACACTGTAAAGTGAATTGACTGTATATTTGTGGGCGAACGCGGCAGCCAATTGCGCACAGCAACGTCCCACAAACAGTCATATGGATTGAAAATGACCAATTTATTATTGTTTTTGGTTTTGGAGGGATTATTGTTAGGCTCTGTGTGCCAGAAGGAGAAGGGCTGACATACTGTGGTACTATAGTATAACAACTGATGGAAGACTGATTTGGTTAGTAATTTGTACTTTGTGTGGTGTGATGACCAATTATTCATACTGTTTGCATATCTACAATAGGACCGGTCACCATTTAATGCTGATAATTGGGTCTGCTGGATTTTCAAAGAAAGCCCTGCTCCAGGTTGATAATTACAAAAGTATATGGAATATATACATAAAACCGGTTATTCCTTTTATAGTAGCATTGATCCAGTTCAATTAATTTAACTACTTTGCAGAACCGATGCTTATTTCTGCTAATGCGATATTTTACCCGAAAAGGTATCGTTCTGCACAGTCCCCACCTTGGCAGCTGTTGGAAAAAATCTTCTCGTCACAAAGGAAAACATCTTAAGGGCAGGACACCTACAAGAAAAAAAATAAGGGGAGCAGTGCTGAGGGGCAGTGCGGTCGCTGAGGGGCAGTGCTGAGGGGCAGTGCTGAGGGGCAGTGCGGTTGCTGAGGGGCAGTGCTGAGGGGCAGTGCGGTTGCTGAGGGGCAGTGCGGTTGCTGAGGGGCAGTGCTGAGGGGCAGTGCGGTTGCTGAGGGGCAGTGCTGAGGGGCAGTGCGGTTGCTGAGGGGCAGTGCTGAGGGGCAGTGCGGTTGCTGAGGGGCAGTGCTGAGGGGCAGTGCGGTTGCTGAGGGGCAGTGCTGAGGGGCAGTGCGGTTGCTGAGGGGCAGTGCGGTTGCTGAGGGGCAGTGCTGAGGGGCAGTGCGGTTGCTGAGGGGCAGTGCGGTTGCTGAGGGGCAGTGCTGAGGGGCAGTGCGGTTGCTGAGGGGCAGTGCTGAGGGGCAGTGCGGTTGCTGAGGGGCAGTGCTGAGGGGCAGTGCTGAGGGGCAGTGCTGAGGGGCAGTGCTGAGGGGCAGTGCTGAGGGGCAGTGCGGTTGCTGAGGGGCAGTGCTGAGGGACAGTGCTGAGGGGCAGTGCGGTTGCTGAGGGGCAGTGCTGAGGGGCAGTGCGGTTTTGGGGTAAATGTAAAACGGCGGAAATCAAAACGTAAAGAGTGAAATTGAAGAAAAACCGAACCTGTGATCCGCTGAGTGACGTCACCGCCCGCCGGGTCCCTCGGATTCGGGTCCGGGTGGCGCGCTGGTCCCCCGTCACTTGGTTCCGGACTGTCTTCCCCCGTCACTTGGTTCCGGCCCCTATTGGAAGGGAAGAGAGCAGCCGCACTCCCCACAGTGGAGCCTGTGACCCTGTGACCCAACTCGGATCATTTTCAGTTAAACACAAAACAACTGCGAATGTTTAACTGAATCAGAACTGCATTTTGCTAATGTGAATTTGCTGTGACCTATGGAGGGGAATAATAATAGGGAAGAACAGTTGTTATCATGTCAGCATTCTTCACAGACTGTGTCGATATGTGTCCTGTTACGGACTCCGCCAGAGGTGCCATCGACCTGTTCAGGGGGACTTGAAAGATCCAATGGCGCTCTTCGAAAAGAGACGGTTGTTTCTCCCGGTGTCCTGGCCAACAATAAACTTGGTCATTCGCTCCATGACTGTTCATTGGACTTGGCTGCGCGCAAATTGGCTGCCACGTTCGCCCGCAAAATACACTGTGAAGTCAATCCACGTTATAATATATATCCTGTGAAGCGCTTTGAGGCATCTGCACAACGCGATAGATGCGGAATATCAACGCAGGCGCGGACTGATCGGGCCAAGTGTCCTTTTTCTGAGCCGAACCTTCTTTGTATCTTCGCTATTAAAGACAAACTCTTCTTAGGGTACGTTGTTCCAAAGCTCAGCTTTGAAGAGGAAAGTCCAATGCGATGGAATAGACAATATTAGCATTCTGTCCAATGAACGAACAAGTGATAGCAATTTCCCAGTGGGCAATAACATGTTACCAAGCAACAGACTGCACAGAAGTGATGTACAGTACTGTCACTGCAATTTACTTTCATGAACTGTGTATCGAATTCTGTTCCCAGGCAACCAGAACAAAATGCAGATAGTGACCATCTTATATCCACGCGAGGCGTGATGCAATCAAGTCAGCTACCGAGGTGCAATTTAAATTATTACTTTCCTCGAAGAAGTTTTGAACTGGTTTTCAATTCTCAATCTGTGCTCTGGATTCTAAATCAACTTGAGGTCAGCTCTATTCATCACCTATAAAAGCAAATAAACAAACATTTTGAAAAGTGGCCATTATTCATTATGATTTAAGCAACAGTAGTCCACATTGCAATGTATTGCAGTGCAAAGATGACACAATTCAATAGGGCTTTAAGCTGGGTGACTTGGGTTGCTATACCAAAAGCACAGACAGAAAGCATTACTTTATAGAAGCAAAATAAACAGAAACATGTTTGACTATAGGCTATAAGAGAGAATCCTATGCCTTGTTTTTGAACTATGAGAATGGTCCGACGTATTGCAGTGGTCTTTTCTGGTCTTAATGACAGGATGAAAATGTAGATGTTTGAGTGTGGATGGGGTGGGGGGACAATTCCAAAATAAGTTAGGGCATTAATATTGTTAGACAGAATAATATAGTAAGTGTGGATTAAGCTCAAATGACATTGAGTTACATTGGACCTGATGACCTTTACAGTTGAAGAAATGTTGGGGAAGAAAGTAATTTCTGTATGACTGTATATATAATTGAGGCCTATGCAAGTTCCTCTATCGTTCTTTGGCTGTGCATTGGCTGGAGAGCTGATCCCAATTTGATGATGAAATTTGAATACCATTGCTATGAGTGGCGTCCTCCTGATGTGAAAGGCGTTATATCAAATTTAAGGATTATTATTAATGATATTAAATAGATATTCCTTATGGTAACTGGCAATATATCACATCAATCCCCAAGAACCTTGCTCCAACGCCAACTAACGTAGAGATTCCTTACAAGGGAAAATTACACATGATTATTCTGTATGTGTTTGCCCCTTTTTTGACATAAATATTTGGTCGAAAACGTTCAAGGGGCGGCAGTGAGTTAAAACATTCTTTCTCTCTTCCGAGTCCGAACCTAAACCAGACTGACAGTATGAGATTACTCTGCAGTCTGCGGACTGGCTGTAAGAGAAATTTGTCTGGGCAATCCTCTCGTGAAGGCATTTCCACAGCACGAAACTAAAAGTGCCAGCCTGGCCCAGGCTGGGACACCACAAGGCGAGCCAAGGGGCGAAGGGCCAGATTGGCGTCTGGGGCGAGTGAATTCGCGGCACCAAGTGTGGAGGGAGCTTTACTTTTGCGGCTGAACGCAGCGGAAAAGAAAACAGTGGTGGAGAGGTGTTATATATACACCGTACTGTACATTTACACTTTACAGAATATACTTAAATTTATGTGTTGACAGTACTTCAAATTAGGATTTAATTTCATATATAGTATATATATTGTGTTACACACAGTATATATGTATATACTCTCTCTAAATATATACACATACATTATATATATATATAGAGAGAGAGAGAGATTTATATATAAAATGCGTTTAACACAGAGATGAACTAACAATGCAGAGGAGAGTGGAGTGGATCACGTGATGGGGGGCGGCGCAGTCTGGACGCGCGATCACGTGACGGGGGGCGCAGTGCGGGCGCGCGATCACGTGACGGGGGGCGCAGTGTGGACGCGCGATCACGTGACGGGGGGCGCAGTGTGGACGCGCGATCACGTGACGGGGGCCCACGGGGCCTTCCTTCCTTCCGTGTTTTGGCGGCTCGGAGCAGAGCGCGAGCGGCGGCGCCCGTCAGTCACAGTCACAGTCAGTCAGTCACCTGAGAGAGGCGGCGCCCGCAACAGCCTCACCTCAGCCACAAGCCACAGCCGCGCGGACAGACGCCGCTCCAGATGAATGCCCACTCCAGTACCTCAGACTGAAGCGACAAATAGATTAAAAAGTGATACAGAAACTGTAGAGACAACTCTCCTCCTCCTCTCACGCTCTCTCTCTCTCTCTCTCACACAGACAGACACACACACACACACACCCGAGGTAGGAGCCAATGTTATTGCACCGCAGCTGCCGTGTCGCCATCTTGGCCCGGGGTTTGTTGTTATTGTCGGGGCCGCGGCTTCTCCTTCCCTCTCTCTCTCTCTCTCACTACCCTTTCTCTCTCGTTATCTCTCTCCTCCCTCTCTCTCTCTCCCTCTCTCTCATATATATATATATATTTTTCGGGTTCGTTTCTCTCTCCGTCTGTGGCCTCCCCCCTCCTCCCCCCTCCCCCCTCCCTCCCCTCCTCCCCAAAGCAACGTTTCTGTGGTGTTTTTTCTTTTTCGTGTTTTTTTTCAAAAATAAGAAACGCAGTCGTCGTCGTCCCGTCCCCCACACACACACACACACACATTGCAGGGCTCCGGGGGGGGGTCGGTTTTTTTTATTATATAAAAAATAATTGATTGATTGATTGTATAATTGATGGATTTGCTGGGCTTTTAACCCTGTGAAATGGTGTGTGAGTGTATATATACATCTATGTGTGTGTATGTGTATATATATGTATGTGTGTGTGTGTGTATATATATATGTGTGTGTGTATATATATATGTGTGTGTGTGTGTGTGTATATATATATATATGTGTGTGTGTGTAAAACTCTTCTTATCTCTCCCCTCCACCCTTCTCTCCCTCTCTCTCTCTCTCCTCGGTGACCGTATCTTTGTCAGGTTGGGAGAAATTATGTGTTTACCACTGGGGTCCCCCTATTCGCCTTTTTTTTTGGGGGGGGGGGGGGGTCGCTTAATTTGGCCTAAACTTGCTGCTGCTCAGTAGTTATTTTTTTTAAAAAAGTGCTAAGGATCAGCATTGTTGAACCCCATTAAGTCGGGGGGTGGGGGTGGGGGAGCTTCGTTTCATTTCCTTCTCGTGTTTCTTGTATTTTTCCTTTTTTTAAAATTTTTATTTAAAAAGAGAATGAGGGAGAGAGAGAGAGAGAGAGTGTGAGGGTTGGTTGGTTGGTGGGAAGAGAGCATGTTTTGGTTTCCTCTGCAGTTCCTATGATGGGATATCTAACGCCTGGTGTGGCCTGAAAGGTTTATTTGGAGTTTGTTTATTCACAGTTTCCTTTCTTCTCTTCCCCTACACCGCCCCAAATGTATAGTTTTTTTGTCCACAAATCGTATTTGAAAACAGGCTGCTATTTCTCCTGTGTTTGAGTGAGTGAAATGGGGGGAGTGTTCGGCTAAGGTATGGCTGCCATTGCAGGGTCTTTGGAATATTATCTTGAACCCAAGTCTGCCCTTTCCTTCCCGTACGAAGCATCCAAGATGTTGGTGTCCTGTAATCTATGTTATTCAATGTTTGTGCACATTTCGGGATGTAACAGAGGGCATAGTTGTGCTTATATGCATTTGTTTGGATTTTGTTTCAGTTAGGTTAGAGATGTTGCAAAAATATCTTGCTGGGAATTTAAAGGATGTTTTTATTCCCTATGTCCAACCACATTTCCATGTCACAGATGTGTCCATTTCAGATGTGTGTTATATTTATTTTAACTTGCTTTAAAATGAACTTCCTGGATATGTATGTACTTGCCCTATGTAAAGGGTGCAATTGCTGTGCGCAATTGGCTGCTGCGTTTCGCCCACAAAATATGCAGTCAATTGACTTTACAGTATATTCTGTGAAGCACTTTGAGACTTTTCGAAGATGCGGTAAGGCGTTGTATCAAATGCAAGTATTATTATAAATGCTAATTGTTATTGCAATAATCATAATTGAAAGTAATACACTCAAAGTCAAATCTCAATTCACCTAACATTTGTTGAGCTTGAGTTTGGAGCAGAATGTTTTGCATTTGAATCCTCATGGATTCAGCAATTTTTTGGGATCAATAAAATGTCTTAAAATGGAAAGTGGAGGGGGGCGTGGAGGAATCATGGCAGCCATAGTGATGTAGGTTTGTAGTAATCTAACTGATTGTTTAGCAGGAAGTCTGACCTCAACCCTGAAATCCAAAGACTTGATTGATATCATGACCTTAGCTGAATGAGCTGTGTGAAACTGGGTTTACCATTTTGTTCACCTATATTTTAATATAAAGATGGGATAAAAATTGCTGTGAAGAATCTTATTGTAGATAAATTTGATTGTGGTAAATTGTCTTGAAGT